TTTTGCTCATCTGAAAAATAAGACCTTTACACGTACTTTACATATCTCTTTAAATATAGCAGCAAAGTATTTTGTTCTGATTGAGAGTAGCTTGTGTATTCCCCTTCCTTGACCTAATAACTGAACTGAGAAGGGACTTGGAATGAGAATGAGGATGACAACATTAGTCTCAGCTGGCCTTTGGGGACAGATGATACAGGAAACTTCAGTGTGACCAAAGACTCTGTAACCTCATGAGATAAAAAATTCAGCGGGCAAATTTTACTGCCACACTACTAATTAAATCAGTTTAATCCATTCATGTCATATACTTAATAGCGGATGCCTCAGTCCATATTGAAATGTACAAAGAGAATCTGTATTAATTGAACTACTCGAATTTGAGGCAGGAGAGCTGTCCAAGTGCTGACTCTGAGGCAAGCTACTGCATCCCCGGCCTGAGGCATATCTACATGCACACTGCACATGCAGTTATTTAAGGCATGTGCCCACACCCTACACTCTTGCAGCCACTTTTCCAATACTTGATTCCAACACAGAAACATAATATTCATACTAAGGATAGAAAAACATGGGTACCTTAGAAAAATGCAGGCACTGTGCTTTTATCATGGAAATTGTGGGGTATGATTTCCAATTAATTCCTTATTATGTTAATTAAATTCTACTGTAAAGCATCAAGACATGGATTACTCTGGATATACAGCTTATGCACCTTAATACTGAGACCACTGCTCACAGCCTTTTTGTTGATTTTTTAAAAAAATCTTAGATCCATTTTTAAAAATGGAAGATTGTATTTTTCATACATAAAACTTTAATTCTCTTATTTTCTGTAAATATGTAGTATCAAAAAAAATCAGACCTATAATGATGGTTTAGTTTTAGAAAAAGGCTTTTCTCCATTTTTTTAAAGTGCTTATTTTCTAATCCAAGTTATTAAATTAATTTAAATTACTTTTTCTGTCTTATTTATTAGTTTTAAGTCTTTAAATAAATTATGTATGTTTGTTTTAAATGTTTAAATAACTCTTATTTATTTTTTAAATAATTACATAATTATTCTTTTTAATTTATATACATTTTATTATTATCTCTTATTCATCCTTATTTCCTTAGTGGTAGGTATCAATTGTAGGAAATAACATTGGTACTTTTGATAATTTTTCACTTAAGTATAGCTTTTGATGAGATATATGTGTTAAAACATACATTTATATATTATGTCTTTGTAAAAGTTATTTTTATAGAACAATGTTTAAAAGGGATATTTTAAATAATTTGAGTCAAAATAATATATTTAGCTTAAATATTTACAGACTGCATGAAAAAGTCTCTTTTTAATATGAATTATATGATGTCTCATTTTTCACTTAGAATGAAATGTATATACATATAACCTTTAAAAAAAGGAAAATACAAAAAAACATTACTAGAATTTTTCTCTTAAAAAAAAGTACAAACATGTTGAGAGTCCTTACCCATGGATAAATGAAAATGGGTATTTGCTATTAGTTATGTAATAGTAATAATAATAATAATAACTGCAACATAGGTGCAACTGTTGAATTTGGAATGTAGGATACTTGAACTCTACCCAACGGTATCAAAAGAATCTATTTTTACTAAGTTTCTTTTTATCAAACAACTTTCTTGCCTTTGAATATGCATGTGTTTCTTTGGGCTAGCAAATAGTATCTATGTTGTTCACAGACATTGTCTGAAACCATATGTCCTGATCACCATGTGAAGGATGTTGGTCATAGAGTTTGCAATAGTCAATCTCAGGCCGGCCCCAAGCAAACCCACTTGAATAAAAAATCAAATGTACATAAAACCGATACTCTATGTGTCTTAGCATTCCATCTAAGTTGTAGATGAATTAAAGGATTATACATATGATATGGAGGCAGACTACTTCCCTTACCAATGTATAATTTGTTGAGAAAAGCATTCACTGGTTATTCAGGCTTTGTCCTACAAGTATAAGAAAGAAATTTCTTCTGTTCTATGTTAACCATAGCCTGAAAAGATACTCAGTTTCCACATAGACTCTTTTAGGAGTTTCTTTAAAATTTGTGTTCATCTACATTCTTCCCAGAACAGAAAAAAAAAGCAAACAAAACAGACATAAAAATAGCAACATTAGAAAATATTCTAGGCTAATTGCTTCACTGCTATTTTAACAGATTAGATAGGTAGCTAAAGGGAAGATTATTCTAATAATTATATAATTGCAACATTTATATAATATTTATTATGTGAAACCTATTTTAATAATTTCACATATATTAATTTATTTAATCCTCAAAACAGTACTATTAATTTTGGAATGTAGAATACTTGAGCTCTACCCAAAGGTATCGCAGAAATCTACTCTAAGCAAGTTTCTCTTTATCAAATGCCTTTCTTGTATTTGAATAGTCATGTATTTCCTTGGCCTAGTAAGGAAACATTACACCCATTTTAAATATCAGGAAGTTGAAGAATGAAAGGCTAAGGAACTCTCTCAGTTAGATAAACAGTGTAGTGAGTGGCAGAACCTGGGCTGTGTGATCCCAGAACTTGGATTCTAACTACTACTTTATCCTGTTCAAACACTTGTTTTTCAAAGACAACTCAAACAACCCAATTAAGGCACAATCCACTCAGATTCTGCTTTTTAGAATTCAATGCAATCCCACTCTTACTATTTATTCACAACTGACTCTGGATATACAATTTCTAGTTAAAGTTAGTCACTAGTCAAAATTCCAGAAAATAGTATTGAATATTCATTAAAAAAAACATAAAGTATATTTCTATCAAGTAGCACTCAGAAGGAAAAGATCCGGGATTTATATCAAATATTTTACCTGATAAATTAATAAAAACTAACATATATTGAGAATTTACAATATTCCAGACAGGATGCTGTTTTACATGCAGTAGCTAATTTACACTTTGTTATCACACTACAGCATAGGTGCTAATGGATAATTTAAGAATCTTCACTTTACAAATGGATAATTTAAGAATCAAAGGACTAAGTTGCTTACCCAAGTGTCAGAAACAAAATTTCAATCCAGATAATATTGAAACTGCTTAATATGAAAAAAATGTAACAGTCTCAAGTCAGAAGTCAAAAGGAAATATTTTAAAAATAAGAAGGTTATTGAGGAAGGAAGTTTCCATGATGGAGCATAATTCAAATGTAGTACAATTTTTGAAAACCAACTAACATGATAAAAATCAACCACAGACTATGACAAATAGAAAAAACAAAACAACAACAAAAAGAAACCAACTACTATATCTTTCCATTATGCCATAGTAGGAGAGTGCTCATAAAATTGTCTATAAAGTATAGATAAAATTAAACTTTTTTAAAGCATAGACATAATTAACCTGTGGAAATTACTCATACTGGATGGTAATGAAGCAGCTAGCTTAGTGAAATTGAGAACATATCTGATTCACTATAATGAGATTTTCAGTTAGATCAGATCACATGTTGTATTAGTCATTTTGAGTCAGGGCACATACTGATTAGCAGGAAAGGTTACAAAAGAAAATTTTCTTTTTTTTTACAAGGTCAGAAGGATTGTGCAATTAAAGAATATTATGATAGTGCCTAGCCAGCATGGCTCAATGATTGAGCATCGACCTATGAACCCAGGGGTCATGATTTGATTCCAAATCAGGGCACATGCCTGGATTGCAGCTCCATCCCCAATGTGGGGCATGCTGGAGGCAGCTGATCAACAATTCTCTCTCATCACTGATGTTTCTATCTCTCTCTCACTCTCCCTTCCCCTCTAAAATATATAATATATAAAATATTTTTTAAAAAGAATATCAAATCTGTATTACATCTGCATATGAGGCAATACATGCCATATAGTGTGCGAAAGCACAGCTCTGTCTCCAATGTACTACCTCTTGCTTTGTCCAGTAAGTTGCAGTTCCTTATCTCATATGCAGGAAGAAGAGGCTTCCCTGGTTTTGAAAGAAAAGAAGGACTTCACAGTAATTTCTCATGCAATAGGCAGTGGTTCTCAACCTTCCTAATGCCGCGACCCTTTAATATAGTTCCTCATGTTGTGGTGACCCCCAATTTCATTGTTACAAATTGAACATAATTAAAGCATAGTGGTTAATCACAAAAACAATATGTAATTATATATGTGTTTTCTGATGGTCTTAGGTGACCCCTGTGAAAGGGTCGTTCGACCCCCAAAGTGGTTGCGACCCACAGGTTGAGAAACGCTGCAATAGAGGAATGGAACTACGATTACTGTGCTGTAGAGAGTTTGGAGGGTAGTTTACAAAATGGCAAAAAGTGAGGACAGGACCCACCATAGGAGCAGTGCATTTTTAAAGATCTCTTCATTGGAGATGATCTGACTTGGAATTTTATCTCAGTTCTACACCTCTTATGTGATAATAGATTATAAACCTTCACTTTCAAAGTGTTAGAGTTTCCCTTTCTGTGAAGTGTATGAATTAGGTGAATTTGTAAGATTATATATTTATAACATTACTTTGGGTTATTACTGCCTATATCTTATAGAAGCTGCAATGGTGTCCTTTAATAGAAGTATAGATACATGGAACAAATTGTCTGGTACCCAAGGGAAGGTGGGTGGGAGGGGACTGGATAATGAAGGTGAAAGGATTAGCTGAAGAACATATATTCATACTCCATGAACATGGACTGTAATTTGGTGAAGACCAAGGGAGAAGGAGGCAGGGTAGGTAGAGGTGGGCAAAGGGGGCCACTGCAATAATGTCAGCATCAAACAATTTTAAAGAAATAAATGTAAAGAACATACAATTTAAAAAAAAAGCACAATGGCATTCAAAATAAAATTGAACAACGCTCTATGGAATGATAACATCTGCACAAATCACACTATGAAGAAATCATTTCTTTTTTTAATTAAACATTTTATGAAGCAGAACATAAGCAGTGGACACTATTGAGAAATGTGTTCCTTTCTGGTTCTTGCTGTTTGCAGACCTGGACAATGTGGAGGGCATTGCTGTGGACTGGATCGGACACAACCTTTACTGGACAAATGATGGCTCCAGGAAGACCATAAACGTGGCCCGGCTGGAGAAGGCCGCTCAGAGTCGGAAGACCCTTCTGGAGGGAGAGATGTCCCACCCCAGAGGGATTGTGGTGGATCCTGTTAATGGGTACGAGATCTTTATTAGCTTTATGTAAGGAAATTATATCAAATACATTTGTTTTGTTTTTTAAGTTCACATGTGAATTCACACATGAATGGTCTGATTGGAAAAAGATACTTATTTAGTGATTTGCTCCCCTAGAGAATGTGCTAAATAAATATGTCAAAAATACATTGAGCTGAAAGAAACAGATCATTTGTATGAAGGATATATTTACTTGATTTATTCAGACAAGCACCATAATTCTCCATTTTAGACAGCCTGACACCAAGATAAATAATCAGATAATCAAGCAATTTAACTTTTTAAAGGCTATTGAAATGTAATGTATTCAAAAATAGCCAAGTTTTTTGTACACTTGATGTGTGGGCCAGTCATTTTGTTAAATGGGTCACTATGATCCTGTTCTGCAGTCCTCACAACAATCCTTTGAAATAGTTGCTAACCTCATCCTTGTCTTACAAAGGAGAAATTGGTAACTGATCTCAAAAGACTGTTTAATTATTGAGAGATTGGGTAGATTTAAACCCCAGCCGCTTGTCTCCAAGACTTTACTCATAGCCACTATACTCTGCTACTTTTTTAATAGTCTAGATTGGTAATCATATAATTTTAGACATAACCATAGTTTCCATACCGTGACATCATTTTGACATCATTTTACAGTGTGCACTATTTGTTTTAGCGTGGAATATTTTGTGCAATTCCTGGGAATATATTTCCCTTTGATGTTTATTCAGAGTTATTACCTGAATATAATAGTGAGCATATAGAAATATCAGAGAAATGTGAAAATTCCTAACAGAATCTCAGAATTAATTGAGTAGATTGCATATTTTACATGTACAACTGTTACATGTGGTTTTTTACCCCCTCCATGGCTTACATTTCGCTATTTCAAAACAGCATCACCAAAGAAATATTTTTCATATCTTACGACAAACATACAAAACAGACTTAATTAAAGAGGAAGCATATGACTCCCTTATAGGCTGAGGTCACCTTCTCTAGAATTATTTGTCTGGAGAACAGCTGCAAATACAATCCGGGTGCTTCCTCTGAGGCTGACACCCAAGCAGTGAATGAATTCATTGTATGTGTTTCGGGAAGACGTAATTATAAAGTAATATCAGTGATTGTATGGGTAGATTCTGTAATTATCTACTCTATTCCTGGGCTTTTAAACCAAGTCATCTATCTGACCTTTAAACCAAGCCAATATTAATTTTAAGAGAAAAATATTTATTCCACACTGTCTAATTCTACTTGAAGCAAGATGTTTTAAAACAGCCTTAAAACAGCATCTTCTTTATCAGTATTCTGTTAGAGAAAAAATATATTTTGATAGAGTGAAAGGTTCTCTGTGATGCTCAGGAAGATGATGCAAACGTGGAGGTCATAGAATCATATGATTAGGGAGGACATTTAGAAGCCACTAGTTCCATCTCTCTCTTCAAATTTAGGAATCTCTTTCAACACTTCCCTAATAGGCAGGCATTCAACTTTATGTGAAACCTATAGCATCTACATAGTTTGTAGTATTTGGGGGAAATTCTGATTGATATGTTTTTCTTTTATTTAAGGCAGTATCTGCATCCCCTGTGATTATTGCCTTATAACTGACCTCTATTTGCCTCTAGTGTTACAAAGAATGACTCTAATACCTTTTTCATTCTATGGATTTTCAAATAGACTACTATCTTATGCACCAACCTGTAAAACAGACACATATGTGCATATATACATGTGTGTGTATGTATATATTTTCCCTAGAAATATACTATGCCCAGCGCTTTGTACCAGGTATATAATGGTTAATAAAATAGGCATAGTCTTAACCTTATGAAGCATCTTGTGTTACCTGCAAGGTGAGGGAGAGGAGAGAGACCAAAGTGATGGAGGAAGACAAAAAGGTGAAGACTAAGGGTAGAAGCCTGTTTAAATAGGTTTGCTGAAAGGCCTCTTTAAGGAGCCATCAGGTAATCTGAGACTTCATTGCAGAGAAGGAATCAGCCATGGACAGTGAGGAAAAGAGTGTTCCAGATAAAGAAAGTGGTACATTTGAGGATATTAAGTTGGACAAGGATTGAGTGTCAGAGAAACTGAAGTGAAAACAGCGGGGTTGGATTGCAGATAGCAAGAGGGAAGGTGACGCAGGTGCAATTGAAAAGGACAGTGGGCCCTTGCCCACCAGGATGAGAGCTTTGTACTTTGTCTTCAGTGTTAAAATAGGAAATCAATATAATCGTTTATATTAAAAACACTAATTTCACTATTCTGTGAAGAATGGATGGAAGACATAGAAATAGAAATGTAACTATACCAGTTTAATTATCCAAATAGTTTGTTTGACCCTAATACAATTTTTAAAATGAAGAAGAAACTTTAGCTCAGAAAACTGCATTTAAAATAACACAGTGTATCTTTAAGCAAAACTTCAGGAAAAAAACGATTTATTTACATTGTTTCTACCATAATATCTTTTTGCATCTGTATACAGAAGAAGAAAATCTGTGATTGCCTGTTAACAAAATTACTCTGTCAGAGGTGTTTTATCAAAAGCTTCATAACCAATTATAGAGTCAATTAAGGATTCATTTATTTTTTATTAAAGTATATTTTTGATTACCATATAGATCAATATAAATTAGTAAGACAATAATTGTCCTGAAGGAGTTTATAATCTGGTGTGCTTATGTGTATACACACACACACACACACACACACACACACACACAATTACATATTAAATAAAACAAAGATATACATGATCCTCAGAAATTACTGAGGTTTTTAATACAGAATTGAGTGTTATTGGATGAACAGGAGTCCAAGATTAACAAAATTGTCCCAAGGGCTGGGCTGTGCAGTCATAAGGTTAGTCACTGCTCTGAAGGGACAGTACAGCTAACTGAGAGGAAAGGAAGTCAGCAGCAGTTCTGAGGTGAGATGACCTCATTAAAGCTGCAGCAGGTGGAATGTGAAGGAACAGAGTAGGAGACGAGGCTAGACATAAGCAGAAATCTTCAATGTTGTGATTAAAAGTTTGAATTTATTTTGCTGACAACAGAGTAATTGGAAGGTTTGAAGATAAAAGCCATACCTTTCAATTCATGATTTAGGAAGACAAGTGACAGGTATATGAGAAGCAACCCATTAGGCGTTCCCTTTGAAAAGGGATGAAAGACAGACTGTAGCATGTGTAATAGGAACAGAAAAGTGGGGACAGACAGGAGAGACTGAAAGGATTAGATTGCAGGCCTAATTAGATTGTTGAAATGGGGATAACGTGGGAGGAGGAGTCAATTAGGATGGCATTGTTCCCCGGCTGATCATTGCAGATGAACTCCCTCGTCCTAATAATTTCACATTTCATAATGTATATCACTAACTTAGAAACCTACATTTCCACTTCTCACTTCTCAAACTATCATCCATACGACTGTGTCCAAAGCTTAGTTCATGTTTCCCCCCAAAGAGGATCTTGTGCAGCCATATCTCAACTAATAGTATAACACCCTCTTATTAACAGCTAGATACCATATCAGCAACAAAATATTTTTCAATAAAATTTGTTTTACTTCCATTTCAAAGAAACTCTTAGGATTAAGATATTTCTAGGATTGACCATCAGATAATACAATTTAATTTAGAGACATGGTTAATATCAGCAAAGCCAAATTAGTATTACAAGCACACATATAAATAAGAAAAAAATCCCTGCCTTTAATTATTTTTTTCTTTTTTGGAATGATCAGCTATGCAGCACCATTAAATGCAATTCAATAAATAAATGCAATAGATAATAAAACTAAAAGATGTCACAAGAAACAAAGGAAAGAGTCTGTTTTGACAGAAAGGCTAGGAATAAACTTCACCAAAAACTTTCATTTGAGCAGGCCTTGAAAATTAGAGGTACATTTTTTTCTTGCTGTACTAACAGAAGGCCAGCTTAACATTATTTTGATTTGATGGCTACCCCAAGTTCCACCTATAACAATATTGTATTTGTTTCTGCTTATTTTATAGGTTATGTTTTCTATTTTCTGTATTTAAGAACCTTCACATTTGATGGTGATTATAAGGCTTTTACTATATAATTTTCAATCAGATAATGAAATAGGTAGATGATGATAGCATATATAGTCTCTATCAAATTAGCATCACTTATTTAAATGTTTTTCTTTTATTTTGCTTGAAAATAATCTTAGTAACATATCTTATCACAAAAATATTTCTTCAAATATAAAACAATACAAAGTATGTTTAGAATATCTGTTATCATGCTTCATTTTTCTTCATTTATCTGTACATATATAGGTGTACACATGCATGTGCAATTTGGGTTAGAGACACACACACACAAAAGTGTTACTATGTTCAAAAGAAAAGCTAGAGGGAAAGATAAATGCAATTTTAACAAGTTATAAATTAGCAACAAGAAAAATAGAGCATTGATTAACTGTATTTAAGATTTTATGAAAATATCAATAGGGAGACAAAAGTTGCACATTTTCCTTTCACAGAGTTGATTTAAAATGTTGAAGTTGAATAGTTATACCTAACTATATAGGATTACAGCAAACAGTATGACCCTTTTGTTTATTCCTAATTTGCTCCAATAATAAAACCACTCAAAAAACACACAGGATATAAAATAAATATTGCCATGTTTATTTCTAGGATCAGAATGTATTTTGACTCAATAAAATTCACTAATCTTAATATACTTCCTCAGGTCTAAAAAGGCATATCCACATAATTATAAAGTTAAGAAAAATTTTAAAAGCTTCATGGGCGAAATGTTTGGATGGTGTGTTTCAGCCTAAATTGTCCCAAATCTGCCTGTTTAGATCACTGTAGGATTATTCGTCATGGATACAGATGTTTACCAGCTTACTTCAGAAATTCTTCAGGGTCTACAGAATGTGAGAGGTAGAGAATCTAATAAGGGTCTTCCTAGGGTAAGCAGCTTAGGAGAGCTTTGGCCCTTCACAAACTTGTTTATGAGGTGACTGAATTAAAGCCTACACTTTAATAACTCAAGCACTTTCGCACGACCCTAAAACAGCATGAGTGGAGGGGTCTAACCTTATTCATGAGGGAATGGCAGCATTCCCTCTCCCACTGTTGTAGCTGACACAGAATGATTTGTTCTTCAAGGCAGAAGCTTTTGTTTGAGATAGAAATTAAATCTCAGAATCTTAAGGTCAGTCAACCTGCTGTTATTAAACTTATGTGCAGCTCAATCATCTTCTGTGGGTTTTGGGGTAATAATAAGCAGCAATAAAGACCAGGTAATTTGCATCAGGAAGACAAATTAGACCTGGCCAAACAATCGCAGTATGATTGTGCCTTTTAGTTCAAAGACAGTCCTATTGCCTGTCTTGAAAACTAATAATTCATCTGAGATTAAGTAAAGTCTGCGGTATATCATTAACTATACAAGGAGTTTTCATGCCAGTCAACGGGCTTTTTAATTACATAGTTGATTATATGTTTTATAAAATGAACATTTAAAAATAGTTAGTAATGCCTCACAAACCATTTCCCAAACTTGCTATCAGCACCAAAGAAAATCAATATCTGGCACTTACTGTTAGAGATCATTAATATACAAGGAGTTTTCATGCCAGTCAACGGGCTTTTTAATTACATAGTTGATTATATGTTTTATAAAATGAACAACATTTAAAAATAGTTAGTAATGCCTCACAAACCATTTCCCAAACTTGCTATCAGCACCAAAGAAAATCAATATCTGGCACTTACTGTTAGCTTAATCACTGAGACCAGTAAGTGTGGTAGTGTGTTTTCTATAATGTGTCCAAAAGATGGCCTCCACTGAACACATCCTTACTTCCCTTGGTACTTCCCAGCCGCCTGCTCCCTTTGGCAGGTATGCATTTAAGTGGGAGAAAAATAAAAATGTAATTAGATTTTATGGAGGTGCCGGGTTTGTGGAAGTGACCCTCTGTACAGAGGCTGGTTTAAATAACGTGTACGCTCTTGTTTGCAATGTCGTAGTTGGATGTATTGGACAGACTGGGAGGAAGATGAGATAGACGACAGCGTGGGAAGGATCGAGAAGGCCTGGATGGACGGCTTCAATCGACAGATTTTTGTGACTTCAAAGATGCTGTGGCCAAACGGTTTAACTCTGGACTTTCACACCAGCACCTTATACTGGTGTGATGCCTATTATGATCATATTGAAAAGGTGTTTTTGAATGGAACTCACAGGAAGGTAAAAGACAAATGCTGCTGGTTTTAATCCGCAGGCTTCTGCGTTTTCACAGAGCCCTGTTGTGCTGTGTTAAAAATACTTTCAAGTTTATTTTTACCGCTCCGAGGTGGCTGCCAGCAGTCTCGGTGGGGTGGCTGGAGGAGGCTGAGCAGCGCACTGCAGCTGGCATTTGCCTCTGGGAGAGCAGGCCCGCTCACCGGGGTGTGCCAGGATTTGTGAGTTTTTTCAAAGAAGCTCTCAGGGTATCAGAGCTGCTTTAGAAGGCAGCAATTCTACATTCTTGATGAGTTTGCTCTGACCAAGCAACCCTACTCTATTCAAATATCTTCAAGTTTTGCAGCTGAAATTTAGCCTATAGATTATGAAAACTTAATTATAATGCATTTCCTTTAAAATAAAGGACGTCATGCCATTGAAATAGAAACACAAGAATAAACTGAACTTCAAGCTTGTTGGTATGAATAGATATAAACTTCCCCTTGCCTCTTTTTGGAAGAATCACTACAAAATGATTCTGAAATTCAGGGGTAAATTGAGGATGTCGTTGACTGTGTGGCAGAGGCAGTGTTGAGAAAACATCACCTCTGTATTTTACCTTATAATTCCCTAAGCATGTATAACATTATAAACTAACTTCAACTGTCTAGTTAAATAATGGAAAAGTGGAATATTTAAATTCATCAAAATGCTGTCTTTGATACTACACTTCCTTTCTTCCTTTTTGGAAAGGAAGATTGCACAATTGGCTAAGCCCATTCATTATGAATTCTGTTTGAGAAATAAATAGTATACTAATCAGTTAAGACTACTTCAGTCATTGACTCGCTCTAACAGTGCTTTAAATATTTTTCTCCAAATGAGTAAAATTCATCGCCATTTAAACTGTCACATACTTAACAGATACTAAATAAATATTTATGATTTTTTTGAAGATGTTGACGTGTACATAGTAGACATAACATTTCAATGGCCCATGTTTTAGCTTAGATTGAGGTGAGAAAATAAATAAGAAACTGTCTCAATTATTCACTATATGAAAATTTATTTTGAAGAATTCAGAAAAAAGGAGCAAAATTTAGATTGCTAACCCTACATTATTTGGATAACTTCCTCAATTCTATAATATTAAATGAAGTGAGTATAATATGCTTTTTCATATTGTATACAATCCATTTTATAAATGGCAAAAGCTGAAAAAGTATTATCATTATTGGAGGTATTATTCCTTCTTTTCTCCCTACAACCCTACAATTGAAATAGGACCTATCACATGATCGCTCTATTTAAACAACAAAAATATAAAACTGGAATGTAAAGAATATATCAAGATAATCAGAATTGAAATTAGCCTACTAACCTAGTTTATCTATTTACTATTCATGTTTCTATGTTCAAAATTAAAATATTTATCTTTTTCCTTGCCATCTCCTACATTTCTTCAATTTGCATTTGCTCAATTAAAATAGAAAGATCCCTTTCACTCCCAATGTCTTAATATCACCTTGTATCCCTTGGCTATTGGATGAGCAATATTGCAATATACACAATGACACTAATTACTCAGGTCAATTTTTATCCCAGGATGTGAATCTGTAATATTGCAAAGAAAAGACACAGGGAAGAGTGTCAGGCAAAGTCATTTTAACATTTTCATTTCTTGACCATATGTGTAAATGAATAAAATATAAATGGTCTCTTTCAAATAACAAGTTCTAGAAACAGAAAAACATGCCCACCCTGTGAAATCTATTTTTCAAATATACTGAAAGAAAATGTGAGTTAAGCTATTAGTTGGATCACTATATGTTATATTTATTTGAAAACCACTTTAAATACTTGTTATGTTTCTAAAGGTCAGTTCTGAACTTCCACAATGTGTTTATATTTTCCAGGTTGTTTACAGTGGGAAAGAGTTGAACCATCCTTTCGGACTGTCACATCATGGGAATTATGTGTTCTGGACTGATTATATGAATGGTTCCATTTTTCAACTAGATTTGATAACGAATGTGGTGACATTACTGAGGCGAGAAAGACCACCCCTGTTTGGGCTTCAGATTTATGATCCACGAAAGCAACAAGGTATTAAACAACAAATAAAATTGCTTCTGAGCTTCAAACATAATAACACTTCAGTAGTTACAAAAATATTTTATTTTGACAGTGTTTCTGAAATGTTATGATAAAAGGTGTCTACTTACTTCAAAGTCAATCAAATCTTGGAATTTGTTACCATAAAAATTTATTATTTTATTGTTCTAAATAACCTGATTGAGTAACTCTGGGAATTCTATCTGAGTGAAGTTCAATATTTTCTCCAAATACTTTCTTTTTGATCTAGTCTTCACTGAAGGAGTCTGTTGAAGTAAATAAAAAAAACGTTTTTAATGGTTTCAAAGATTATTGTGAGCCATTAGAACACCTTTGATTGGGAACTAAATATTATGGGAAGATATTTTAAAATACATTATATAAGGAAATTGCATTTTTAACAGTATCTTACTATATTTTATCTTAGTTTCATGTACATTTGAAAAGCACTTAATTAATTTAGGAGATATGAAAGTAAAATAATCTACCATTATATTCATGTCTTATTAAAATCAGATAATATTCTATGTTATATCTACATCTATGGTTTATTCTATGTTTATTAAGATTTATTAAGCCACCCACGAATACCACGACTTAGAATTTAGGGATTAAATAAAGAAAACCATTTGTAAAGTATATAGTAGATTTTTGCTATGATTCTAGTTATCATTCCTTTTTTAATGGAAATATTTTTGTGAAAATTTAATGAGCCTAGATTTCAATGCACTTAGTATGAAAAATTATAGACTGAGTGTTTCATTGCACATGTTGTCAGTAGGAAGTTATCTAGCAACAAGAGTATTTTGAAGATATTTCTACTAAAAGGGGGATGTTAAAAGAAAGCTATCTCAATTAAGAACATTTTTTTCTACTGTATTATAATTGTCTCATTGGAATAAAAACGCAATTTCATGAAATAATGGAAGTACATAGAGTGAGAAGTATATAAAGCTTTAATAGTTAATAAAAGATAAAATTATCTTTAAAAATAAAAAAATGAAATTTTTGAGATGGTATAAACTATAGTTGTGGACATGAAATAAAGAATAGAACAATTGCCTGTGTTATATTGTAAATCAGCGATCAGAACATAGGATGCCTAATGAGCCAATTAATTAGGAATCTTTATTATGCTAGTGGGCTCAGAGCAGAATATCTCTCTCAAATTCTGAACAAAATATGGTGGAAGTTTCCCCTCTATATATCTTTCTAGCCCTTTTGTCTCCCAAATAAGGGTTTTTCTGGACCTCCTGCAGACTTTACAAAGAGCTCTGTGTAAGTTATTTTTGCAGGCAGCTTGTAACCTTGAACACACAGTATGGGAGTAGTATCAGCCCCTTACGTCAGATGGCTAGCGCGCAAGGTCAGCCAACTAACTTTATCTTCCCTGTTATTCACTCAAGCTAAAAAGTAACGTTAATTTACAGAATAAGGAACTGTCTAAAAAATAACAGAGTTGACTACATAGAACAAGAGATCATTTTAAAACAGCAGAGGATTTTAAACATTCATTTTACCAAATAGAGATTATTACGCTTCACCTGCATAAATCAAATGGTAATATTTTTTGTTACATTCACATCCTCCCTTTCCCTAGCCCTGCCACCATTGTTGTTTGTCTACACTAAATTGGAGCCAAGACTATGAACAAGAATAACCCTTCTCATCTCCTGTGGTGTTTTGTTTTTAGGGTTGCTGTTCCCTTTAATTCCACATTGATTAATTTTCTGGATTTTATTACACCAATCAGTATATAATCACATTTTCTTTTTTCATTCTCTTCTGAAATTAAATGCATCATATGGATGAGAAATATCTTAGCTAACTATAAGATGGATTTGGGCTTAAACCCAGATCCTGACACTTTTTCCTTCGTAAACTTGGGACACATCATAAAGATTTAACAAAGATAAGACATGCTTTCTTCAAAAATATTTTATAAGGAATAGATATATATTATATGAGAGTAATTTAGAACAGTACTTGTGTTTTACATTAATTAATTTGCCTCTTTCATTTCTCAATCTGGAGGCATATATTTGGAAATTTCCTTGCATTTAAGCATTTGAAATAAATACCTAAATGAATAATGTGTCACAATGATATACAAAAACACATGTCATATGAAAATTATATTTCTATATTTATGAGGAATATATTTGGTATTCCAGATAGTGTCATTGACATATAATTGTTTAGTGCTGTTTCTTGGATGGACAGTGTATTTTTAAAAAGGACTTTTAAAAGATTGGTAATCAAAGGGACATTAAAATGAAAGTGTATTCTTGATTACTAAATTATTTATGCAGTCTTTATTGTAGAAACCATTATGCTCTGTCTTACTGATAGAATGCATTTGGCCAAATTGATTGTTTTTTATTAGTTTAGGTGAAATAATCAATTAGTTTGTTTTGTACCCAGTCTTTGTGTGGCAAAATACTTACTTGAATCTTTTGAGCAGAAATACAATGGAGAAAGGATACCTGATCAACATCTATTTTACTCAGTCAATAGACATTGAAATTGGATAACCTACTTAGTATCTAAATTTTTAGTTTATTTAACTACATTGACCAAAATAGCTAGATTATAAAGCAAAATGCAATCAGATGTTTAAATACAGACATATTATCTTACCCATGTTATAATTTCAGCAGTGTTTCTCTTTGCATCTTTTGAACATCAGATATTAATAAATATTTAGAAACATAGAATTAGTGCCACATAAACTTAAGATATATATTGCCTTATTAAACTGTTGGGTTTTTTGTTTATTTGTTTGTTTGTTTTTAAGGATATATTTATAAAATAGAGAAAAGTATGGCACATTTTATCCTTTCTCAGATTGACATCATTCAAAGCTGATTCTTCTGAAATTATCCTAGATGAAACACATAATTTGTCTAGTCTTTATACAACTTTTATTTTCTCTTCTAAACTGCAATTCTGACTATCTTTCTATCAAGTGAAGAGAAGAAAATTCCCATAGATTTATGTTTCATATTAGGTTCAGAGACTTCTAGCTACACATATGATGAAACTGAGAATTCAAGAGTTTAGGAGGCACATAGAAAAGGGAGTTTTTCCTTCCACTATTTTGAAAAAAATTCAGATAAAAGAAAGAATGAAACAATGGGATTCCTTTGCACTAATATTTTATATATTACACCAGTTGCTTCAAGTGAAAGATACTTTATTAATGAAAGTCAAATTACTGTAGCCTAAAAAATCCATATATTAATATAGGCTTAGGAAATGTTTCAATATATCATGTATCCTTATTACTCTTTATGAAAGTTACTGGAGGCCCAATGCATGAAATTTATGTAAGGGGCTCAGTCCTCACAGCCCTACCTTTGTCTGAATGGACGTCTAGAAGGTCATCCGGCTGTCTGGTCTAATTAGCATATTATGCTTTTATTATAGATAATATGCCTTTAAATAATTTACATTGATATAATAAGTATGTAGCCAAAGTATGTATGTATACTTACATACAAATAAGACTATCCCTTTTATCTTAATGAAACAGACATATCTATCCACATACATGCGCCTTATGTCTACACCCCCAAATGACTGTTTCTGTCATTCGTATTGCTGACTAAAAGTTTCATTCATTCATTCATGTCTTCATTCATCAATGTAACTAATGTTTAGCAAACACACATTCTATGCCAGACACTGTAAGGGACAGAAAAAATCTATAAGTTTTAAGATTGAGGAAAAAATACAGTTTTTGGCTCAGACAGACCACTATCTTGAACTTAATTTTGAAAGTTATTCCTCATTTGTTTTCCTTATAGATTTGATTTTTTAAAGTATCTGCTTTAAAAGAAACTTCATTTAGGATTTTATTTTGTTTTATTTAGTATGTTATTTTTCTGAACTTTGTCATACATAAATAAGTTAGAGTATATATGATCAATAATTTTAGATTAAGAAAAATCCCTTTTCTAATTATTTAGAAATAATGATGATAATAGTGATAATAATACCACTGCTATTATCTAGAAATCCTATCTAATAAAAGGGCAATATGCAAATTAACCATCACTCCATCACAAAGATGGCGGCGCCCAGTCCTCTCAGCCCTGCCGGAGTCCCCCAGTACCGGGAGGGTGGCTGCTGAGAGCATGCAGCGTGAGCAGCCTGGCAGAATGCTTGCTTCGTCCCCGCTGTGATGAGGCAAGCATTCCACCCTGGCCACGGAGGACCTCTGGACAGTGGGCACAGAGTGACCGGGGGGTGGGTTGGAACGCTTGCCTCGTCACCCGTTCCTGGCCTCAGATGGGCCTCTGGGCAGTGGGTGCAGAGCAGCCAGGCCTCATAGAGAGCTACTGGTGCACGGATTCATGCAAAGGGGTACTAGTAAATAATAAACATTATTCTAAATTCTTATTTTTAAATAAGAAGTTTTTTTCTTATTTGTAGACATTGGAAAAGTCATTGAACCCTATATGCCCACCTGAAAATGAGAGAAAATCTACTTATAAGTTTATTATAAAAATTGAATTCAGTGTATATTTAAGGTAACTAGCACTAGAATTGATGCATAATGGATTTTCAATAAAGATAGCTATCAATATGTTTATAAACTCTTTCATTAATATTTTTGTATAAAAATTTTAATGCTATTTGTAGTCAGTGGTGTTTTCAAGATAATATCTTTACATAAAAAGTTTTTCAAGCTACTAGAAATTTAATTAAAACTATCATATGAGCTCTATTTGGAATATGGTCAAGTAATAAATTAAAAATATATTAGGATACCATTAATATTTTTAAAATCTAAGAAATTTTAATAAGAGGTATAAATTTATTTAAATTATTTTAGATTATAGATTTTTATTATGACAGGACAGGTATCAATTCTTCTCTTTTAACACATAGGATTCACAAAAGGAAATGTATTTAAAAGTTGGAGTAATGATAATTCATTTCTAATTACTTAAATTGTACATTCAATAAGACTAATAAGTATGAGTCCTGCTGTTAAATTAAAGAATTTGTTATTGCCGAAACTGGTTTGGCACAGTGGATAGAGCTTCAGCCTGCGGACTGAAAGGTCCCAGGTTCGATTCCAGTCAAGGGCATGTACCTGGGTTGCGGACACATCCCCAGTGGGGAATGTGCAGGAGACGGCTGATCGATGTTTCTCTCTCAACATGTTCTAAAATATTGTTTTCAGTACCTTCTTATTTCTTACAGTTTTAATTTTTCATAGTTTTTAAATTATTTTGAAGTAATTCTAATTTTACAGACTTTGAATTTTAATAAATATTGAACTTACAGTTCAGTCCTCTACATATGGTATGTAACATAGATAGAACTCCTAAGAATAATATGAAATATTAAATTTTTATTCCATGGTCACGGAATAAATACAGCTATATTTGGAAGCTGCCTAGAAATTTTTTTGCATCTGCTGTTGGAAAAAGTCTGAACTAAGCTTAATTATCTTCCTAGTTTAGAAATTGTTCTATAGCTTTAAATATTAGCTTCCTTAGCTTCAAAGTGTATCTTTCATTTTTTATAAACATAGCAAATTTAATTTATTTATCAGAATAATGAAAAGAAATGTTTATATACTGTTGATATTCGGGCACATGATGATAATCTATGGAGATGAGTTAAATATTTATTGCATAGGGCAACATTTCAAGTATTCTTTAAACTCATTTATCAACAATTTCTACATAGCATTTCCAACCCCTGAGGCCCACAGTGCAATAACCTAGTCCAGGGGTGGGCAACCCCTGGCACGCTTGCCAAACATGGCACGCCAGTAACTTTTGCTGGCACATGAAACCCTCTCTTATAATCTTCCATTTACAATTTTTTTTATTAATATCGACTTTTTTATTTTTCAGATAAATTCAGTGTAGGTGCATCTTAGATAAATAAATAATTTTACATAACAAGTTATCTTAAAGACCATAGACATGGATTGACGAGAGAGGGGAAGAGCAATTTCTATGCCTCTGCCTTAACTCTCCCTGCCTTCCTATATCCGACCAGTGTTTTGGTTTCATCCACATACGCTTGTGAATCTTTGTTCTCAGTGATGAATTTTGTTAAGTCTCATAATAGGAGTAGCCTGACGGATGAAAGTAGTAGCTCATGCATATCTCTGAAGGTCACGAAATATAAACCTGATGTAAAATCTCTGTCATCAGTGATGCAGCAGCAAAAGTCCCACTGATAATATCAAACGGAGTCATAAAGTTTTCTGTCAGACTATCAGTGTACATGTATACATTAAAAAAATAAATGTATTTTTCATCATCATATACTGTGTTTTTGTCGCTCAAATGAATTTTATTGTTTCTTCAAGGTTCTTCACATACGTACACCTTAAGAGATATCAAGTAGGCGTAACATGTTCTCAAAAAATTAGGGTTGGCACGCAGAAGAATTTTGAGTCAGAGATTTTGCTGGTTTTGGCACGCACTCACAAAAAGGTTGCCCACCCCTGACCTAGTCTGTCACTTCAGTCACAGTGTTGGCACTTATACTTTAACTGCCAGTGCAGTTTTAATTATTATATCATTTTATTGTATGTCTCTGGGTAATTAAAGACTCTTTATTTTTAATGTTTGAATAAGATAGACTAATATTTTCAAAATGTTCTTTATTGATACTTGGGAAAATGCCCCCATGTAAAAGACCCTGACATTTACACTGCCAGCTGGATTGCATTGCAGAGTTCTTTCTAACTATTCTACACATATATGATAAGAAAATGGACTTTCTTCCTGGCCTTTCTAACTTGTAGGAATAATAACATCAAAATGATGATTACCTAAATTTTATTTATTTTCACCTACATCTTTATAAAACAGAACCTCCACGCCTCTTCAAAAATTTTATCTCCGTTGTATCTGAGTCTCCCAGGGTGTCTCCCATATGTTCATGAGTATGGACATAGGAGTTTCCCCCTGTGCCTGTTTATTGATGTCTGTGCACGCCTCATCAGTGCCTGTGCCGTTCAGGTCCACTGGGACAACACGTTACCCTTGTGTGTTGCACAGTCTCTTGGTACCAGCAAGGCTGCTCATTCTTAAGGTTTCACAAATATCCTCAATGCACTGACATGCCAATGCACTCCTTGCACAAGGGGAGCAACACCCCACCCCTTCCCGCTAGCTCACTTTCTTTCTGTTCACTTGGGATCCAAAGCCACATTCCAAGTGCTGGTGGTCTACTTTCCAAATAACTCAGACTTCCTAATCTGGGGAACGATCCTAGACAGATGCCATTCTGCCTTCTCTCCTCCCCCCTCTCTCTTCCGGTACCCAACTACACACAGATCATTGTCCTACAACCAACACGAAAATTCCTCGCCTCAGCACAACATATATGTTCAAACATTTCTGGATTTCATTAAGGATTCAGCAGAAATCCTGGCTTCATCAATCAATTAATTAATTATATATTAATGCATATGTAATGTGTGTGGTGTGTGTGTGTGTGTGCATGTGTGTACATATTGAAGTCTACCTACATCTCCTAGAAATAACCGGCTAACTTTAGATGGAGTCAGAGTGCTCTGACACATGTCCTTCATTCCTCTTGCAGGTGACAATATGTGCCGAGTGAATAACGGGGGCTGTAGTACACTGTGCTTGGCCGTCCCAGGAGGCCGAGTATGTGCTTGTGCTGATAATCAGCTTTTAGATGAAAACGGAACAACTTGCACATGTGAGTTTCTTTTCTTGTTACACCCATTGTTTATACGTGTCTTTTGGAAGACCAGAAGCAGATGAAACCACAGGAATTAAAAATCAAACTTGGAAAGAGAAATTCAGATACGTGTTTAGGTATAATTCCTTTTAGACTATGAATTGCTAATTTCTAATGTACAGATGAATAATGAAAATCATGAATTTTTGCGGAGTATCCTGTCACTGCTGCATATAGTTTAGTAAAAGAATAGCGGTGAGTATATGCCACAGAAGAAAACATTTTATGAAAATGTTAGGGAAACTCAACATAAGTAGTTTCACTAAAAATGTATAGTTGTTGGTTACATAGATATGTGATGCACGCCATAGGCCTCAAGTTATCCTCAATAGCTTAATAAACTCAGTTATCTAGATTTGGTGGTGAAGGCAAGGAAGGAGGTAAAAAAAAGAGATTTCTAGGGAATTTCTTGATTTTATCAAAGTAGTGAATTAACTGAATTGATTGACCTGGATTAAAGTCACTTTATTAACTTTTTCTAACCTTCCTCAGTTTACTCATCTTGTGAATTCTATGTGACACTTTTTAAATTTGTTCTCTCTACACATATCATGCCCCCTAAGAACAGCAATGGCAACCATGCTCTGCATATGTTGAGTACAATATAAATGTTCTGGAATGATAATCTTGAACTGTGTGTTACTCATGATTCCCCAAAGAAATAGAACCAGTTGGATGGAGAGAGAAACTAAGAGAGAAAGGAAGAAAGGGAGAAATCTATACTAATAAAAGGGTAATATGCTGATTAGACCAGGTCAACCAGACATCTGTACGTCCGATTCCTTCCAGACAAAGCCATGGTGGTGGGGGCAGAGACAGAGGTGGTTAGGGGTGATCAGGCCAGCAGGGGAGCAGTTAGGGAGTGACCAGGCTGGCAGGGGGGCAGTTAGGGAGTGGCCAGGCCAGCAGGGAGGCAGTTAGGGGACTACCAGGCCAGCAGGGGGCAGTTAGGGGGCAACCAGACTGGCAGGGGACAGTTAGGAGGCAACCAGAACAGCAGGGGACCAGTTAGGGGGCAATCAGGAAGGCAGGTAGAGTGGTTAGGGGCCATCGGGCAGAGAGGCAGGTGAGCGATTAGGAGCCAGCGGTCCTGGATTGCAAGAGGGATGTCTGCCTGCCACAGAGCCAGAGAGGCTCCCCCCACCACCACTGCACTCGTCAGCCATGAGCCCAGCTTCTGGCTGAGCGGCACTCCCCCTTTGAGAGTGCACTGACCACCAGGGAGCAGTTCCTGCATTGAGCATTTGCCCCCTGGTGGTAAGTATGCATCATAGTGACTGGTCATTCCTCCATTTGGCTGATTTGCATATTTGGCTTTTATTATATAGGATATGTTGATCACTGGTTATTTCTGTATATATATAACCCCAAAACAATCAAAGGGAATAAGAAAGAAAATTATTTCATCTTGATTTATTACACTAAACAATGTTAAGTAAAAAAACAACAATAAAGGTCAGTTATTATTTAAGAAATTTTGCATTTTGATGTTAAAAATTAAATTCTATCTTTAATATGGCATGTAACTTTTTTAGTTTTTTTCAAACATAATGAGAAAAATCAAGAGAACAATATAGCAAATACTTTCTTGAAAAGAATTCAAATTTTCTATGCCAGTTTCTAGTCATAAGATGGTAAAGGTTTTTAAAATACATGTTAGTCTTAGTTTGTAGATGAGGAAATTAAACGCAAAAGGCCTGCAAATAGAGTTACAGAATATAGTGCAAAACATCTCAGTGTATCACTAACCTCTCATTAATGTTGAATCTTCTGGGTTTCTGATTTAGTTCAGGCTAGTTTATAGTGTTGTGAACTGTCTTCAACTGAATCAAATCTATAATCTGAACTAACAAGCAAAACAAAAATGCATGTTGCAACCATTGAGATATGATCATCTTGGTTTCAGTCATTCTCATTAAACTGACATCAAATGAACAAAAACCCATTGGCAGATGGTCAACCTGGAATTAAACACCATTGGTTGTTTCTCATTGAACTTGAAACATAAGGCTATGCCAGAAGAGGCATTCACCCAGCAGAAAAATATTGGCTTGCTACATGGTTGATTAAGGATGAATTCTAATGCCATGCCTGGAAGGCATCAAGAATGAGTACGCTTCATTCTTTGTCCTTGTGAATTTTGTGTGCCATGGTCAAATTCTCTCACAACTAGAATTGAGGCCAGGTGTAGCATAGTAACTTGGAACTTACTTCCCTGGACTAACATATGTAAATCCAGTTGATCAATTACCAAGTAAGTTTGTTTGTTTGTTTATTTATTTATTTACTTACTTACTAGAGGCCTGATGCACAAAATTCGTGCAAGAGTAGGCCTTCCTTCCCCCGGCTGCTGTCATCCGGGTTTCCCTCTGGCCATCTGCAGGCACCGGGACTTGGGTTTCCCTCACAGCCCTGGCTTCAACCAGAAGGACGTCTGGTCTAATTAGCATATTATGCTTTTATTATTATAGATCTTGATGCCTTTGTGGGGAAAATCACAATATACAAAGTTAGTAAATGAGCACATGGATAATTTCAAAAAAGTAAATTAAGCTCCCCAAAAATGATTGTTACTATTTATTAAAATAGCAGGATAATTATTTCTAGTGTAATGAAACTAATTTTTTTAAATACCTTTTTAGTGGCCTGAAAGAAAAAAAAAATTTCCAACATATCTTACTCCCAGGAGAGCAACTTAAGCATTGCAAAAATATTGATCATCCAAGGGTAGCATTGCACAATTATGTGTCAGTGGTACTCTGTGACCTTCTTCACCTTCTGGAACACCAGATAGATTTCTCCATCAAACACAGTGCTCCACTATGGCTACGCTATTTATCTGTTCAGCTGTGACAGGCCTTATGTTCTAAGATATATGCAATCTAATGTGCAGTAAAAAGTTTAAGGCAATAAAAAGTTTAGAAGCCCTATCTAGATGAATATTTATGGCCTTCTCTGCATAGGAACTCACAAAAGATTATGTGCCACTTAGTTTGGCTGCTCGGAAGACTACTTTATCTAATAAAAGGTCATCCCCCTATGACCTAAAGGAGAAAATTCAAAACCTATAGCAGCATGTTTCATCCTGCTTTCCTGTATTATATGCCTTATATAAAGGCTTCCAACAAAGTACAACTTGAAGTTTGCTTTCAGGGTCTTCTCTCTTCCTGCTCAAATGAAGGGATAGGTAGAAACTCTGTACTCCTCAAACACAAAAACAAAAACTTAATTAAACAAACAAACATGTCCTAATGTGAGACTTATAGGGACAATAGGATTTTTTAAAAAATTTTATGTACTGGGACTAATGCTTTAAACTAAGTTATTGTAGTTTCAATAACAGTCAACAGCAAAGCATCAACTGAGAGAGGAGATAAGAATTCGTTTAAAACAAATTAACACAGTGGGTTGAAAGGAAACATAGTAAAGTTAGAAACATAGGCACTTGTTCATGGATGCCACACACTTATTAAACCAATGTTAGGAATATACTAGTATGTATTAAGTCCAATTACTTAGCTGAGGCCTAAACCTGAGATAATTCAATAATAAAATAAAATGAAATAAATTTTAGTAGGTTTCTAGACATTAACTCCAGCAATTACTCTACCAGTTTTTACCAAAGAAAGTTAATACTAGAATACATATTTCCCTTTGTAATGTCCTGAAGCCTGATCTTAATACTGTAATAGCAGGTATGGTATGAAAGAATGTCTGACAGCCTTGCAAGGCATGTCATGATTCATGTAATTTTATTTTTGATTTTGATTAATTTAGAAGATTATTTATTACTTTGTCAGTTTTCTTACTGATGAGATTATGTTGTAAAATTTTTAATAGAAATAACCCTTGCAGTAGAATTACAAGTTTTGCATCAATTTTCAAATTCATAGTACAAAACACAACCCTGCCACAAAGTTTGCCATTGTAACAGTTGTTGATATACTGAAAACAATATATAGCTGTGCCCAAACACCCATATGCAATGTAGGTTCAGTCATAATAAGTATTAGAACAAAATGGCACACGTGGAGTTTTTCCTATATGTTTAATTTTGGGTCACAGAAAGAACTTTACCAGTCCCTCTTTCTTTTTATCTACTTATTGATCTTTACCCCTTAAAATAAACTAACTTCACCCACATTCTTGGGTGATAAGCCAATTGAAGTGGTACTGTTTTCCTGAAGTATTGATATAGTCCCCAGAAAAAGAATTTTCTGCTATAATAATGGCTGTAATGTAGAATTATCAACCTTTGTTAATTCTGGTAAGTCATGTAACAAATATTTTGAAACATCTACTCTTTGCCTGGTTCTTTGCCAGGCATTGTTCTGTTTGGTGTGTGACACTGGCCTTCCTACATTGAAGAATCTCAAGGAAAGCATTAGATGTGCAAAAATTATTTACCTAATATCTTCTTTATAGAAGTTTGTGCAAGGTATAAAAATATTAATCTCATTTTTGTAGGTGCCATTGGCTCTCTTATGTGGTGCCAAATATACTTGCTCCATAATGTTGCTGATTCTCACAAAAATTGGTAGATTGTCTGGTCATCAACTGGGCAACCATGACAGATGACATTGCTACCCAACTCCACACAGTTAGGTCAATGCTGAGAAAAAAACCCAAAAAACAAAAACTGCTTTCTCCAACCCCCGTTTTAATGTCCAAGGAACTTTTATTCAGTTCTAAGTGAAGAACAAAATTACTTTTGTCAAGTTTGTCTCATATTCATAAGTTAATACTACAACTGTATGGGGATGCTTTCTTTTTTTCTTTATATTTTATTTTTACCTTTTTAAAAATTGAATATGGGGATGACTTTGGTTAATAAATTCTATATTAACTCTTTAATGTATCATCTGTACCGTGCATCTATAAGCTGACATTTTACCCATATTATCACCTATCACATTAAATATTTTCTTGATAATGGACAATGTTAGCTCAGAAAGAATGTGTCTTCTATAATTATGAATCTGAACAAACTTGATTGTCAGCACTAATAATATGGTGTTTCTGTGACATAACTTCTGATTACATCTGGAAAACTTGGATTGGGCTACAATAAACTAATGATGCGAAATGTCCCATGAGACTGGAAATCAGAACCACACATCTTAAAATAAAAATTCTTTACTATTATGTCAAGAATTTTGAAGGGTCTGAGATTTCACTCTAGTTAAAAGCTAACATGTCAGCCACTCAGTGTGTCATAAATTCTAACAGGAGACAATTTCTGAATCAGAAGCAAAGCATTTTATTATTCGTGGCACAGCAGGCAGCTTAAATTTAACGTTCACTTTGATTCTCCTGGTCTCATCCCACCCCCAAACCATATGAGGGCAATGCACAGGCGGGCCCCGGGGGATGCTGAGCACACAGTGAGTCCGTAGCACCACTGAAGAGCTTAAGAGTCTGACGGAAAAATCTGCCCAACCTTAGTCCTGAAGGGAGACATCATCTTTACTATCCAGATCGACAAAAAACCTGCTCTCTGTTCTAGAAGGATGTACTGTCTCCATCTTCCAAGGCTGTTAGTTATATAAGCATCCCTAAAAAAAAATCCAGAATAAAAGCTTACACAAGACATATAGGAACACCAGGGATGGATGTTTCTTGTCTAACAAATTAGAGGGCTTAGAAGAATTGCAGACAGACTTTAGAAAATATCAAGGCCCAGCTGGCATGGCTCAGTGGTTGAGCATCAACCTATGAACCAGGAGGTCACGGTTTGATTCCCGGTCAGGGCATATGCCTGGGTTGTGGGCTTGATCCCCAGTGCGGAGGGTGCGGGAGGCAGCCAATCAATGATTCTCTCTCATCATTGATGTTTCTATCTCTCTCTCCCTCTCCCTTCCTCTCTGAAATCAATAAAAATATTTTTCTAAATGTCAAATATATTTTATATGTTTCATTATTTGTTGTTACAGGTATAAGCAATGCCTAACTGCTGTTACAGCAATATTGAAGTATAATAATGATATTTCTATACTTCAATATCAAAAACAGTAAATATAAAAATGATGAAATGATCTCAAGATGTTAGTTCTACTCTTTTTCAAGCAATTATTCATATCTTGTTATGAAACTTATAGATATTGTCATCTATGTTCAAAATTTTCCACCTTTGTATTAGAAAACATCATTTAAAAATAATCAACTATCTATATATATATTTAAAACCATGTTTAAAAGAAACTTGGAAAATCTGCCTATTTGCATTCATTCCATAATGACCTAAATATCATTTGAAAAACATTTGAACTCTAAGTAGACTTAAAAACTTGATGTCTAGGTTGAATAATATTTAGTTTTAAATAACAATTTGCTTAGGTAGTTTGTCTTCCCCTAGACATTTTTCTTTTCTTTAATACAGATGTAATTGTTTGGAAGCAATTTTACTTTCACTCTTATATTTGGATATTTTTATGTGGATTGGGTTATTGTTTAAATAGCCACATAAAAGCCAAGCTTTTAAAATTGGTGGGATTGTTATCAGAAGAGAACTGATGGTTTCTTGGGTTTTTCAGTCCTTACGATATGAAGCAATGGAATTGACTTATCTTTTTTGAAGTCAACTATAGAAAGAGTAGAGAAAATATTAGTTAAACTTAAATGGGAAAGGAAGCTGATCACATCTCAATTCAGCTTTCTTGTTTAACTGGAATTAAACAAAAACAAACAACAATGACAAAAAAAAAAAAACACCTCTAAGAAAAATTAGGCTTGATGATTATAGAGAAGAAATTAATCAAACTACTATTCCTTAAGTGCCCAGCTCCTAAGTGAGGTTTAATGGATTCAAAAGAAGAAACTATACCGCCCTCAAAGATCTGAGGGTCTAATTGTGTGGACTTGAAACTCAAAGTAAGGAAAATGTGCATGTTATTAGTGATCAATTCTACAGATTTTTGAGAGAAAAGCTTGATCCTAGAGATGGGCAGACATATCCCAGCATGCACTTTCACTTTGGATGCTCATCCTCACTCCCTGCTGTGGCAGGAAAAGGCACCCTAGTAGGGGCTGAGTAGGGGACCCAGGGATCTTCCCTTTTTGTTTTTAGATTGTTGTCACTTCCTATTTGGGCATAACACACACACACACACACACACACACACACACACACCACAAAATTTGTTATTTAAAGAGACCCCACAGAAATGACATCACTAGAGAACTTGCTGCTACAGCATTTTGTTATTGAAAAAGATTAGAGTTAAACAGGGAGGAAAAATCACTGTCAGTTCCCACATATGGTATCTGCTGTCTGAGAAGGAAGGACAGAAGAAACACAGGGTTACCTTTGTTCTAACTGCATATTTCATTTACCATACTATTTTTTTACCCTTAAGACTTTAAGCATATGAATTTATTAGGCAGCTTTTTTTTTCTGGCCCCACGAACGCACAAGTGTGTGCTTTGCTCCATGTCTCTGAAGCAGCTACCCTTCAGGTCGCAGTCCCTCTTCCGTGCTTTGCAGCAGGGAAAACACAAAGATTAAGACAGTGCTAACACCAAGTGTTCTGGAGACGCCACATGTTTTTCTCTCCATATCTCTTGTTTTTCTCTCCATATCTCTTGTTTATAGGTTTTGTGACAGTTCATCAGTTCAAACCCGTTATCCAAAGTAAAGTTGAAAGCCATTAGAACTGGAAAAGAAAGATCAGCCGTGCTTTTCCTATGAATAAACCAGCTTTTAGTAATTCAACGCTGTTTCAGTCTGTGAAACACAAATCATTTACTGTTACTATCGCCACATGTTCCCTTCTCTTCTGAGACTCTGCTGAATCCACTCAAAGAGAACAGAAGAATACTAACACTTTCAGTCCGCGAATAAACCCCAATTAACTGAATTCCTAACATTTGATTAAAAGACATGGAATATATGGAGAAAGGCGCTGCATAGAATTCCGATACATAACGAGATTGTTTTGATTAACTTAACACTTTCGTTAATACTTAAGCAGACCTGAGTTTTTCTCCCACCTAGAGACCAACAAAGTAAATGCAGTTATCAATGCTGTGTGCTATTGCCTGTTATTGCACTTTCATTAATTGTGGGAATACTGATCTATAAGATGGAGATGGTAAAATTATTTGCCAGAGACAAAGAAGCATCAATCAGACCGTCAAACCTCAGAGGGAAGGCAGGGGAGGGTGGGGGTAAGGGGGAGAGATCAACCAAAGGGCTTATATGCAAGCATATAGGCCTAACCAATGGACACAGACAACAGGGGGGTGAGGGCATGAGTTGGGGGGGGTGGTGGTAATGTGGGAAAAGAAAGAAAAAAAAGAAAAAAATTATTTGCCAGGCCTACTGTATAGGTTGTCATAGTGATCAACGGAGATTATGAATGAAAGCCCTCTAAAAAGTAAAACTAAAAACTCAACATAAAAACCCAACCAAATATAATGTAGTTTATTACTATTGTTGTTATTTTGGTAATCTTTAAACATTTTAGTAGGATAATTATCTTCAGAAAAACTTAAATTTTTCTCATTTCAAGAGATTGGTATCACTAGAATGCTAGCATGTTTTTATATTTTCCATACAATAAAATGAATCAGTATTTAGTTATTATAACATTTTAATGAATCAATAGAGCCAGTATTGTTCATACACCTTGGGTTTTTTGTAACCTAGTTAACCCGGGAGGAGTATTACCTCACGTATGTAAAGCTGGAGAATTTCGTTGCAAGAACAGGCACTGCATCCAAGCTCGGTGGAAATGTGATGGTGATGATGACTGTCTGGACGGAAGTGATGAAGATTCAGAGAATTGCTGTATGTTCTCACTTAAGTAATATTAACTCTCCCTGACCCTTTAAGTGTGTGAACTATGAAAATAGTTCGTGAAATTCTAAAAATGTATTTGATAATAATTGAACTGTTGGTTTTTTCTCAGTCATCCTTTGCATAGTTTTAAGGTGCTGGTTTTCTCATCCTGCCCCGTCTTTAACATTATCATTTTGGTTGCCCCAGAAGTCCTTCCTTTCCCATTTGCGCTGCGGCACCACCACACCACTGTCAGGATGTGGCTGTAAGAGACCCCTTCGGGTGTCTGACTTTAAAGATGTGGAAAAGCAATTTAAACTCCCTCAGGAAAGAATTACTGGAACAGAGGGTCACGAGCCACTCCATTGCTCCTTGGCAACTAAGCCTTGGAGGAGATCCAAGGAGACAGACATGGGTTTGCAGAATGTTATTCCCTAACTTGGCTGCCTCTATACATGGTAGGAAACACATATGGGGCACTCAGATAGAAATGGAAGATTTGATTTTTCTCCTGTTTGGCTTATTTTTAGTTATCTCTCATTTGCTGCTATAGAAATAGTTTCATGTTTTTGTAGGGATAATGAAATGTCCCACATACATAATAGGAAAACTCTTTGGGAAACACATTAAATGTTTTGAGAATATACTAGTATTTGATTACAGTCACTACCTGAGTGGTTTTGAGAGATATAAAATATCTTTATATGAAGAGAGAGAGGTATGTGCTGGACATATGCATCTTTGCTCTCTTGATTTGACTTAGATACATTTTTTAAAAATTATGTATGTTTCCTAATTTTAATTAAAGACATTTAAGTTAAAGACATTTCCAGGTTAAAGTGGCTGACCTAATAGTGAGTTAATTGTCAAATCTCCATTTTTATTTTTAATCAAGAATATAAAAATAAAGTTTTAAAATTTGTAGTTATGATTGAATAAAGTTGGTCTGAGCATTTATATCATGAAACTATCTGTGCTTTGGTACAAACCCCAAGAATATGGACTTTAAAAGATATTTTCAAATTGTGCATAAATGCATAACACATAAACTGTCATTAACACAGGTAGCACTACTTACTTTTAATTTCCAAACATGGGTTTGACTGCAACATTATGCATTTCTTATTTTTAAACTCATTAATATTTATACTATAAAGTGTGAAACTACAAATAAAATATTTAATAATTTTTGATACAATTAACCAAATTTTGGGAGTGAAAGAAGCATTTTTATGTAAGAGTACAAGGTGTGTTTTTTTCCTACTTATTTTACACAAATGATGTATTATTGATTAAATTAACTGCCTCATTTCTTCTAAATCACTGTGTTTATTTATGGTTTTAATGAATACTCCTTATATATCAGCTCCCTAAGTAGTCAGTGTCTGTTCAGAGTACAAATATTTCATCACAATATTCATGCGTTAGCCTTTAGTTCCATGCTTTAATTTATGAGATTGTTCTTTTCACCAACTCACAAAGAAACACGATTCCTTTTGAATATATTTGTACCATTAATTGTAGCATTAAAATTCCTTGTTGGTATTTTTCTCTTATTTTCATCATGTACGACCTCATCACCCAAGCCCACATCATGGGCTTTTTCTGGAGTCTTCTAATTCACTCATGGTCCATATTAAATTCTATCAAAGAATCCTCTCTCTTTTACCCCCTAAATAATTAATATTTCATCTTTACCTCCTCTCAACTTCACTAAATTAGACTACTACTTAGATTAATTCAGTAAGTGCCCTGCTATTATTCCTACCAGAATCCCTCCTTAACTAAAGCCCACTTTCCACACTACTTCAAGGGTGACAATCAAATACTGAAATCTAGCCCAAACTGGTTTGTCTCAGTGGATAGAGTGTTGGCCTGGAGACTGAGGGGTCCCAGGTTTGATTCTGGTCAAGGACATGTACCTTGGTTGTGTCACATCCCCATTGGGGATGTGCAAGAGGCAGCTGATCGATATTTCTCCCTCATCAATGTTTCTCACTCTCTATCTCTCTCCCTTCCTTTCTGTAAAAAATCAGTAAAATCTATTAAATAAATAAATACCAAAATCTAGTCTTGATATTTCAGTAACAGTACATAATCAAGTTAAATTCTAAAATTCATTGACTTACATATAAGACGCTTTATGTTATATCCTGTCTTTACATTTTTAGTCTTAAATGTCTTTCATGAATCCATTTAACCTCTTTGTCCTTATCAAGTTGAACTACAAGTAGATCTCTAAAAAAAGGTTATTTTCTCTCCTCTGTGACATTCATTACACTCTCTGTTTCTAGCAGTGGAATTCACCATCATTTTTTATTACTTTCATAGAGAAGTCCTTTTTGAACACCAAAATAATATCCTCTCAATATAGCTCCGAGTTAAATATCTCACATATATTCCTTTACTATGGTAGTTTCCACAGTTCAGTGCAATTGTATGCTTAATTCTATGGTGCATCTAATAGGTGAATTTCTTCATGAGGAGACACATTTTATTGTAGCATCTTTTTGAGTCTAACAAAGCATCTAGCACATGGCTGAATAAGTGACTAAGTAAATGGGGCAACAACAAACTAAACATCTGTGGTCAGCTTCCAGCAATATGGAGTAATCTCTAAATATTTCAGCGATTCTGAGCAGCATTTTATTTCTGGGGTTCCATGGTGAATATTCCAGAAATACATCATTTATTTCAGAGAATTATTTTAGATTTTAAATACCCATAAGCTTTGACCTTGAATTCCCAACTCGAACTCACAAAACTATGGATTATGTTTGCCCTTCATTTTGAACTCTGATTTACATCACTGATGAAAATTGCAAAGGTTACTGATCAAGCTTCAATGCAATGCTTACACATAATCTTAGTACTTTCAGATGTTGACCCTCTAATATATTGGATGACTTTTATTTTCATTTTATTTTGCTATAGTCCCTGCAGTGAGTAGAAAATGGTAATATGATCAAATGCCAGACAACATAAAGCTTTTCCACCTTTTAAAAAAATAAACATGAATAGAAACTTTCTAAAAAGTGATAAAATCACTTTATCACCAAAGCTACTTTAAAGAAAGAGTTTTTAGAAACTGGCTGGAAAGGCATACATTTGCTTTGCAACAGCATGATAAAACAGCTATTTTTTAAATTCTAAGTATAAGGAATGCCAAAATTTATTTTTTATTATACAGAGTACAACTACTAGGCTTTTAAAACATTACTTCAAAAAGATGTTGAAGTTTTAAAACAAATACTAAAGAGCATGCCAATTCAGTTAGGAATTTAGCCTCCTGAATGCAGGAAAAATAATCACATTAGGTTAACTTTAAGATGGCCCCCTGTTGTGCTTAGATATTGAATGCTAAATCCTCAGCTGTCTACAGCTTCCCTTCTGAGGATTGGTCTTGTCCTCAGTATATTTTGTGGTTGCATGTTTGTTTGTACTAGGGAAGGAAACTCATAGTGATCCATTTTGTTATTAAAATTATGCAGGACCTCATATTTAGCCAATTCTAGGTCCCAACTGATGCTTTTCTTTCTTGGCATTTTTCTTCCAGATGTTGCACAAAGCATAACAAAAATAGACTTATTTAATATTTCAAGAACTACTTGAGTTAATGTATGGTTTTAAAAAAGTATTTTTACATATGATTAAATTATTTGATGCATATTTCCTATACTTCACATTAAAATTTGAGGTTGGTAAAAAAAAAATCTGAAATTTAGTTACCTGCTGTGTTAAAGGATGGAAAACCAAAGGCATGGGTTGACTGGTGATACACTAGTTGGACAAGACTCATCCCTGCTAAATCTTACTTGGCCTGGGAGGTTGAGGTTTGTTAGCATCCTGGGATGTAGGCCACTCACAAGGAGAACTTTTGTTTTACATTGAAAAAATAATTTATGTATTTTATTTAGTCTGCTATAGAATTCCTCTGTGAATAGTTTCTGTTCTTGGCACATTATTTATGTAGGTTAGGATTTTTTTTTTCCCCATGAAGTCCTACCATCACTAAGCCTATTTATATTTCCATATAATGTATCCAGCTAATGATTGTGGGAGCAATGAAGATGAATCCAATCAAACTTGCGCAGGTAATCATTTGCTGGGATATAGACATAAATCTCTTCCTAAGTTAATCTCCATATAAATTCAGGTCAATGCCTTTAACTACGGTGAATTTTCCTAATGTCGTGTTCTGATTGTTGGAATAGTAAATGAATTCGACACTTAATTCCATAAAACCTAGATTACCAATGATATTTTAGTTAATCTTTGGGCATGACTCTGCTCTCAAAGTAATTTGGCACTTTCTCTACCCATATGGGTTGACTGGTGATACACTAGTTGGACAAGACTCATCCCTGCTAAATCTTACTTGGCCTGGGAGGTTGAGGTTTGTTAGCATCCTGGGATGTAGGCCACTCACAAGGAGAACTTTTGTTTTACATTGAGAAAAAATAATTTCTGTATTTTATGTAGTCTGTTATAGAATTCCTCTGTGAATAGTTTCTGTTCTTGGCACATTATTTATGTAGGTTAGGATTTTTTTTCCCCCATGAAGTCCTACCATCACTAAGCCTATTTATATTTCCATATAATGTATCCCATTGTAATAAATCTTTGAATCCCTAGCCAGATTCTTGTGGAATAGGAATCTACAATTTGTGATACAGGTTACAACGGAGTGGCAGAAAGGTCACTATTAGTCAGATAAATGTTGAAAAATGATACTGACTAGCAGCAGCCTCATGATTCTCTATAAACGATGAAAAAAAAGGTAGTGCATTTGATGCTTCATATTGATACGATCAGTAAAAACTGTTTTTTCAATCATTACACACAGCAACATCAAAACATATTAGGTCAATGCCTTTAACTACAGTGAACTTTCCTAATGTCGTGTTCTGATCATTGGAATAGTAAATGAATTCTACACTTAATTCCATAAAACCTAAATTACCAATGATATTTTAGTTAATCTTTGGGCATGACTCTGCTCTCAAAGTAATTTGGCACTTTCTCTACCCATCTGGGTTGACTGGTGATACACTAGTTGGACAAGACTGGTCCCTGCTAAAGCTTACTTGGCCTGGGAGGTTGAGGTTTGTTAGCATGCTGGGATGTAGGCCACTCACAAGGAGAACTTTTTTTTTACATTGAAAAAATAATTTCTGTATTTTATGTAGTCTGTTATAGAATTCCTCTGTGAATAGTTTCTGTTCTTGGCACATTATTTATGTAGGTTAGGATTTTTTTTCCCCCATGAAGTCCTACCATCACTAAGCCTATTTATATTTCCATATAATGTATCCCATTGTAATAAATCTTTGAATCCCTAGCCAGATTCTTGTGGAATAGGAATCTACAATTTGTGATACAGGTTACAACGGAGTGGCAGAAAGGTCACTATTAGTCAGATAAATGTTGAAAAATGATACTGACTAGCAGCAGCCTCGTGATTCTCTATAAATGATGAAAAAAAAAGGTAGTGCATTTGATGCTTCATATTGATATGATCAGTAAAAACTCTTTTTTCAATCATTACACACAGCAACATCAAAACATATCAACCACCTCGCCCCCTCTTTTTGCCAAAATAAGCATTACTAAATAACTATAGTATATTAGTGAAAACTCATGAGGAAGCATATAAAGAAAAGACCCAGAGGTCAAAAAGCCTTGTTTTGAGCTCCTGTTTTTTCCTTAGAAAGACTTGTACCTCTCTGCACTTCAATTTACTCATATATTTATTTCAGTTCTATAAGGACTATGACTTAACAAGAAATTGTTTCCAAAGAGCTTTTTACTCTGTACTAAATAACAACATGATAAGAACAAAACAGTACCATTCCATAATCCTCACTTCCATCTTATTTTCAGTTTTTTTTTCCATAGGGACCTATTTGCTGAGGATCCATAGGCTGTGGAATAGGAATCTACAATTTGTGATACAGGTTACAACGGAGTGGCAGAAAGGTCACTATTAGTCAGATAAATGTTGAAAAATGATACTGACTAGCAGCAGCCTCGTGATTCTCTATAAATGATGAAAAAAAAAGGTAGTGCATTTGATGCTTCATATTGATATGATCAGTAAAAACTCTTTTTTCAATCATTACACACAGCAACATCAAAACATATCAACCACCTCGCCCCCTCTTTTTGCCAAAATAAGCATTACTAAATAATAACTATAGTATATTAGTGAAAACTCATGAGGAAGCATATAAAGAAAAGACCCAGAGGTCAAAAAGCCTTGTTTTGAGCTCCTGTTTTTTCCTTAGAAAGACTTGTACCTCTCTGCACTTCAATTTACTCATATATTTATTTCAGTTCTATAAGGACTAGGACTTAACAAGAAATTGTTTCCAAAGAGCTTTTTACTCTGTACTAAATAACAACATGATAAGAACAAAACAGTACCATTCCATAATCCTCACTTCCATCTTATTTTCAGTTTTTTTTTCCATAGGGACCTATTTGCTGAGGATCCATAGGCTAGTTATTCTGTTGCTCCTTGGTTAAAAGCTTAGTCCAATATTTAAGAGTAACTGATCATTTTCAAGATATTTTGTGTGTCTTGTAAGGTTGTTTTACAAAAGACATTCTAGAGACTTGTCCTCTAGAGACTCGTCCTAGGCTCCTGCCTTCAAGCCCACTAATTTCATAGATGAAGGCATGAGAGAAGGGATTTGTCTTAACTCACATCATTAGTTAGAGTTTAAGGGGAAATCAATCCATGAATTCTTTCTCTAAGACCATTGCTCCTTTTATCAAATGATATCAATCTGAGGATTAGCTAGAATTTTAGGTATGGTTAATTTAACTTTGGCCTGGTAGCCTTTTATTATAATTACAGTGAAACATCTTTCTAAGCCAGTGCAATTATTATTCTCTTAAGGTTCAGATTCAAATCACAGTCTGTTATTACATCCTAAACAGATAGATTTGCTTTCACCTTAAAATAAGAGGTATTGCTGACTCTATTCATAATGTCATGTCTCCTTTATTTCATTAGATTTTTAAAATATATTTTTATTGAGT